TTCATCGTCGTGATAATGATAATGATAATAATATTTTCGTACTAATCTGTGTGGCCGAGCCTGGCTCCTGACAAACCCACTTAGATAGCAGAAGATCATATGAGGCTTCACAAACTAGAAATGCTGAAACCAAGTGAGAATCCCGCGAGCTGCGCACTTCCACAAGAGAAAAAGGAAGCTTTTAAATTCTTCTACAGTATGGCAAACTCTGCCCTGTCAGAATTGGTCTAATTGGCCATGGTAGAAACCACAAGTCATCTTAATACTTATTTCTTCTTTAAGACATTTATTTGCAGATGCATTGGTGATCATCAGACATTGACGGACAAACCGTTATTATTCTGAAAAGAAAATTTAAACAGTGAAGACTTAGATGGTTGAGTAAATGTATTTGAGTGAAGAGAGCCACACTAATACAAACACAGTAGTTTAGCGCTGGGAAAAGCAAGAAAAACAGACAGAAATCAAAAAGAGATCGTAAATAATATGCTTCACAGGCCAGGAAGCTGAAATTGTTTCAGAATGCTATTACGTCTGCTGGGGTAATAATAATATAGGTTGTACAGTTCATAGAGCTTGTTTTTTTTAGCAAGAATTTGCACTATATAAACGCTATTTTTTTAAATAAGATTTTATTAAATAAGAAGAGGTTACGAGTAGCACCCTCTTTTCACCAAATGTTGGTGTACCAACCTTCAGCCAACCCATGTAGAAGAGGAACAGCAAAATTGTGAAGCCCGGGACGTAGAAATCTTTTTCGAAACCTTCGTAGCCTTTGGTGGGGTCCAGATATTGGTGGCCGACCAGACACACAGCAAAGTAGGAGTAAACGGCGAAGGTCACCACCTAAATTGTCGGAGAGTTTCATGGACAAGTCAAGCCAAAGGTAAATCGAATTCATTGCAAATGTGATGGTAAAGTCCCCCCCCCCCCCCACACACACACACCTGGCCTGCCCCCTTCCCTTAAACTACACAATTTAGATAATTTGGGAGACAGACTGCTTCGATATTGTCTCTCGAACTCGGTGCCAATTTAGTTTGAAAGGGATATGGCATCCTAGATGACAGACGGAGATACGGAGTCTTATATAAAAGAGAACAGTGTAAAGAGCTTTAACCCAGTCAAAGTTGCACCGATTCCAACTAAACTTCGAACAATTAGATTTCAACCGATTGAACGTAACATTCATTGCCAATTGGTAACATGAAGAAAATTGTTCTTTTTGATATTGTACTGACAGATTTGATGTTCCCTTGGTTGAATTGTAAGCTTATTTGTTTAAATGTTATGACGAATTTGTTAAAAAGATGATCGAAGTGTTGGCCTTAAAAAACTGGGTGTGGTTTGCTCCTTCTTTCCTACTAAACACCTATCGTCCTTATCTCTCTTTCTTCTTTTCTTTGTATAATACTCTCTATCCTAGTAACACCTCTAATCTTCGCCATTCATACGACCTAATTTTGTTGCAAGTGCCGTAAAACTCTTACTTAAACCAAGAACTGAAAAAATAGATAACAGAGATATAAAAGCAAAAAGAGTATAGACAAATAAACACTCTACAACGTTACCTGCGTGTATACCAAAGGCACGGTTATCCAGTCGTAGACGAAACACAGCGAGCATTTGTCTCGGAAATCTGCAAGTTGCTGTGAAAGAGTTTTAAGGAAGCTTGTTAGATGTCCAACGCCTTTAGAGTTTTTCTCATTTTACTTATAGTTCCGTGTACTTATACGTGTGTAAGATGCACATCATAGAAGGGAGTGGGAGTAAAATAAGATGGTGCAAAATCGCGAAAACAAGAGCTTTCCTTCATAATCTTCCCGTATAACAGGATTAATAAAGTTTTTTCCGGTTTGATCTTCCTCATTATAATGTCACAACCATTGGGGAAGCGTATAGTAGTGTGGGG